TGTCATGTAGTTTTACTGATAAGGAAAGTGACTCCTAGAGAGGATCAGGGGACTGGACCAAGGTTACACAATGTGAAGCAGAACCAGAATTTGAACACATAACCTCCCATCCAAACCAGGTGTTTGGACACTAGTTAACAGCCCTATGAATTCTATTTCTGTGTTCTTCAAGACACATTATAAAGTATATGGATGATCCAAATTTTAACCTCTTTTTCTCATTATTTTAAAGGATAGTGTTTCATTTTATTATTCCATGATTAAATGGTTTTAAATGTACAGATCACATCATGTTATATCTGGGAAAGACCATCCAATTCTCCTCCATAATTTTGCAAATGAGGTACTGAGGTGAAGACAGGTAAAGTAAGAGAACGTAACTAAGATGGCAGCAAGTTGGAAAAAAAGATAGGACAAGAACTGAGCTTTCCTCTCTCTGGGATCATAATATTTTCATCACACCAGACATGCTTGTAGTATGGAGAATTCAGAAATCAAGTATTTTGGTACTCTATTACACCCATTTTGCAGATGAGGTAAATGAGACTGAGAGAAGTTAAGTGACTTGCCCAGTCTCATATCAAAAGGAAAGTGTCTGGGACACAGTTTGAACTCAGTATGGCTGGCTCCACATCCTTTGTTCTATACTGACTGTGGTTGTTCAATCCTGTCTGATTCTTTGTCACCTTGCAGACCATAGCACAACGATACTGTTAATGGGGTTTCCTTGGCAAAAACATTGGAGTAGTTTGCCATTGCATTCTCCAGTGGATTAAGGCAAAGAGAGGTTAATTGACTTGCCCAGGGTCACACAGCTAGATTTGAACTCAGTTCTTCCTGACTGCAGGCCAAGAACTCTATCCATTGAGCCACCCACTTGTCTCACTATGCTAACTACCTGCCAGTAAATCATGAGACTAAACTGGGAAAGACCTTGTAGTTCATCCCATTTGACAGATGAGGAAACTGAGACTTTGAGACGGTGAATGACTTTCCTTCATTGACAAGTATGAGAAATATTGAAATCAGAATTTGAAGCCTAAGTCATCTCACTTGTAAATCAAATGGTCTTGCCACTGTAAAAGTTGCTACTTGTTCATGTGCTTATTTTTTTCTCCTGTGTATCTCAAAGCACTTGATAACAAAGTTTGTATCATCTCTTCTAGCTATTGCAAAAAATGTTATTTTAATTTTATTGGGAGAAGTCCTCCTATCAGATTACTCTCTGACTTTAATACTCATAAACACATTCATTGTACTTTACTGGTTGGAGTACAGAAAAGGGGATCTAATCTCTCATTTCACAAGTGAGATAACTAAGGTCTTGGTTGTGGGGGAGACTTTGCTAATATTTGGAGAGTAACTAGACTGCAACTCACCTACCTCTTGAGCTCACTTGTTTTTCTACCCTGCCAGATTTCCTTAAAGAGTGAAGAATTTAGAACCAGAGTACCTTGATTCCAACCTAGGCCCTGCCTCGTAAACCTTGGGCAGGTCACTTAACCCCAATTGCCTAAAAATAAAAAAGAAATTAAAAAAAAAGAATCACTCCTCTGCAGGTTGACAACAATCTTGTACATAGGGGCAGAGGCTAAGATATTAAATTTAGAGCTGCAAAGGATCCTTAATAGCCAGTAAAGTGCAAACCACTTATTTAACAAAGGGGAATTGGGTCCAGAGGCCCAAGTGACTTGAAGAAGGTGACACATGTAAGCATTGGTATAGCCATGATTCTAATGCTGGTCCTCTGATACCAAATCTAGCATTCTTTCTACTTTATCATGAAGATTCAATGGACTTTCCTATTTGTCCTTGGGGTCAAGAGGACCTGTGTTCAAAAGTCTTGTACCTGACATACACTAACTATGTGACACTGATTAGCCTTTCGATGTGCCAGGTGACAACTGTTTACAGATTAGTTCTTGTTCTGTAGCTGTGCAGGGGATTTCCATGTGGGGAAATCCCTACTCTGATGACACACCAATCCTTGACCAAAAATTTCAGCCCTACTTTAATATATTTCTATTTTTAAGATTCATCTATCTTTCACATGCTCTGTCACAAAGACGTATTGATGGGAGGTCAGTATTGAAACTATGGGAAAATCCAGAAAAAGTCATAGTGAGTCCTTTGTCCAAGCAGGCACAGGGAGACAGCAGTCTGCTGACATTGGAATCAAAGGTGGCAAAGAATGAGAATCTGAGAGGGTGTGTCTAAATAGAGGAATGGATGAAAATATCATAGCATATGATGATAAGGGACATGATTTGGGAGTGACCTGGGGAGATTTGTATGATCTGATGCTGCATGCAGTGAATAGAATGAGAAGAATTTATGCAGCAATATGGTAAAGGCAAATAACTTTAAAAGAATTAGGAACTATTAGCAACATAACAGGGCAGCTAGGTGGTGTGGTGGATAGAGTGCTGAGCCTGAAATCAGTAAGACTCATCTTCCTGAGTGTAAATCCGGCTTCAGACACTCACTAGCTGTGTGACCCTGGGTAAGTCACTTAGCCCTGTTTGGCTCAATTCCTCATATGTAAAATGAGCTTGAGAAGTAAATGGCAAACCAATCCACTATCTTTGCCAAGAAAACCCCAAATGAGGTTATGAAGGTGAATGAGACTGAAAACAAACCAACAATAGCAATGGCAGCAGAAGCAGTAGCAGCATCATGATTCCAGAAGACTCATGATGAAACATACTCTTCACCTCCTGAGAGAGAAGTGAAGGATTCAGAGTGCAGAAGAAGCATTTTGTTTTACTTTGACCAGTGTGGAAATTCATTTTGATTGACTATATGTTTCTAAGAGGATGTTTTTTCCCCTCTAGTTCTCCAATGGGTTTGGGCTTGGGAAGAAATGATTAACAGACAGAGTTTTGCTGATTTAAAAATATAATTAAGGGTAATTGAGAAAGGCTTCTTATATAAGGTAGGGTTTTTAGCTGGAACTTGAATAAATCCAAGAAAGTTAGAATTTGGAGACAGAGGAGAAGCCACTGAAAACTCCCAGAGTTGGGATGTCTCACCTGAGGAACAGTAAAGAAGCCAATGTCACTTGAATACAGTGTAAGTGAAAGATAGGTAAGGTATAAGAACAATTGAGATGTAAGGTGTGAGGTCTACATTATAAAATGGAAGATTTTAAATTCTATTCTGGATGTGATTGGGAGACCCTAAAGTTTATTGAGTTGAGAGATGACGTGGTCAGACCTATGCTTTAGGAAATCACTTTGACAGTTGAGTAGAGGAAGAACTGCAGTATGAAGAATGACACAGCTGCACTTGCAATAGGCCAGGTGTGAGGTAATGAGGATTCACACTGAAGTGTTTGCAGTGTCAAGGAGAGAAAGGGGCATTGTGAGAGACATTATAAAGGCAAAATTGCCTGGCCTTGAGAACAGACTGGATGTAGGAGGTAAGAGGGTGAGAAGTCAAGAATGGAATATAAATAACAGGGTAGATGGATGGATAATGGGAGGATTTTTTGAGGATGGGAAGAAATGGGTATGTTTTTAGGGTGTAAGGAAGCAGCTAGTAGACACTGAAGCACTGAAGATAACTGAGAGAATGGACGTGGTAGAGAGTACAATTCACTGGAGAACATTAGACCAATGGTGTCTATGAGAGAGTATGCCTTGACAAGGAGGGCCACATCTTTATGTGAGACAGTGAAGGAAGAGATAGTGTCAGAAGACATTTTGGGGGTAAAAAGGTTTTGAAGAGCCACTGTGGTGAGGAGGATAGCAAGTTGATTAGGGAGTTGTCAAAAGATTACTTTGCAGCAGTGAGAGCCCAGTCAAGGTTATGTAGTTAAATTTTTAGTGGAACCAGTCAACGTGATTTCATTATTATCTTCAGTTGTTTTTCTTGCGAGGCAATTGGGGTTAAGTGACTTGCCCAGGGTAGTGAGTATGTATCTGAGGCCATATTTGAACTCAGGTCCTCCTGACTCCAAAGCTGGAGCTCTATCCACTGTGCCACCTAGCTGCCCCTTATCTTCAGTTTTTGTTCAGCCACATGATTATAGAAGTGAAGGCTGCAGCTAATGGTAATGATCTAAGGATGAGCTTGGCAGGGCAAGATCAGTGAGATAAGATGGCTTCTGAACTCAAGCGAGATGCAGTGGAGGAACAGGTCATGTGAAAAGAGTAAGTTAAAGAACTGTGAGGTTAGGGCTCTTGAGGAAGAAACAATAAGTATGTTGAGGTATGAGGGTTGGAGTTGGGGAGGAGAGAAACAATAACAGGGCTATGAATTCTGAGCTTTCTGAAGGCTCTGGGTGAGAGAAGAGCCAAGGCATTTCTTTTGTTAGAGATCCTCAGCAGTTCATTCTCCTTCTTCAATGCCAGCAAATCCGTAAAGAGTCCATACTCTTAGGCTCATCTTGGATGACTGGTGCCTTTTGATTTCATCACAGTTTCAACCATATGGTGAATACAAAGGGCTCCTTTATACCACTTGGTTACAGATGAGAACTAGTTAAAGGATTATGTGAGAATGCTCCAACATCCAGAAAGAATTTCATCTGATAAACCCTCAGCACAGGCTCATAAGGATGAAGCTCATGGGCCAGTATCCTGTTATAAGATTCTTTAACAGAGTGAAGTATATTCATGAGAAGACACAGCCTTCCCACCCTGCTGACTAGCACATTTTCTCCCACCAACTTTTCTCAGCAAATAAGGCATACTTCAAATTTTAGCTATGATGTACACGTTTTGAATTGTTAAATTTGGCAGACAAAAAACAAGTTGGGAAGCAATATGCAAAAATATTTCTACAAATATGAATTTGAGAGAAATGAATTGGAGGAACCTGGAACAGTCACCATAATCACCTAGATTCTCCTTATTTCTCAGGCCAACATGTCTGCCCCTAATACAAGATATGTCTCTGGCAATGGATTATGCCTCAACATTATTCATTGCATGTGATTATTTTTTGATGGTTTCTTTCTTATCACAGGTGAATAATCCAACTTCCAAACAGAAATTATGGAGAACAGGTCAGAAGTGAATGAATTCATCCTTGTAGGATTGACAGATGCTCCAGAGCTCCAGTTCCCTCTCTTCATAATATTCACCTTCATCTACTTCACCACCCTGGTGGGGAATCTGGGGATGATAGCCTTGATCTGCTGGGTAGCCCATCTCCATACACCCATGTACTTGTTCCTTAGTAATCTCTCTCTGGTGGATTTTGGTTATTCTTCAGCCATTACTCCCAAGGTAATGGCTATTTTCCTCATGGAGGACAAGGTAATCTCCTACAGTGGGTGTGCTGCACAGTTTTTCTTCTTTGTGGCCTTTTCCACTGTTGAAAATTTTCTTCTGGCTGCTATGGCCTATGATCGCCATGCAGCTGTGTGTAAGCCCCTCCATTATACCACCACCATGACATCCAATGTGTGTGTGGGTCTGGCTGTTGGTTCCTACGTCTGTGGTTTTCTGAATTCCTCCATTCATACAAGAGACATTTTCAGCTTTGACTTCTGTAGTTCCAATGTGGTCCATCACTTTTTCTGTGATTTTCCAGCACTTGTGCCTCTCTCCTGTTCTGAGACATACATAGGTGAACTGATTGTCTTCTTTGTTGTAGGATTCAATGTCTTTTTTGCCTTTTTTATCATCTTGATATCCTACTTATTTGTCTTTATTGCCATCCTGAGGATGCGTTCAGCTGAGGGTCGACAGAAAGCTTTCTCCACATGTGCTTCCCACCTCACAGCAGTGTCCGTATTCTATGGGACAGTTATCTTCATGTACTTACAACCTAGTTCTAGTCATTCCATGGACACAGACAAAGTAGTGTCTGTCTTCTACACTGTAGTTATCCCCATGTTGAACCCTCTGGTCTATAGCCTGAGAAATAAAGATGTCAAGAATGCTTTCATTAAAATTTCTCAGGGTGCAAAATTATCATTAGGCTTATCCATTTAATTAAGGTACAAACATAAAACATCTTTTCACATCACATCTTCATAGTACACACACTCTTTGGGGTCCATGCCCTCTTTATCCTCCATCAAATGGGCAGCTTGGAGTCTCCTTTTTCTTCCCAAACCTTGGAAACACCTCCCTCTGAAGGTTTCCAACTACTGAAGCTCTGATCTACAGTTTACAGGATTTGGGGGAATATGAACTATTATCTCAATTCAGTCCTCACTCCACGACATTTTCTGAGATTCAGAAAAATTTACCTTAAATTTGGAAAGAACTTTGGCATAGCTCTTTCTGTGGAACAGGGCATTGTGTCAAGTACTTAAAATAGCCCTTGTGCATATTTCATTTGCTCATTGGATTACTTGGCCTAAATAATTATTAAGTGAGTTGGGAATTATAATTGCTGAATGACTTGTCTCAGTTGTTATGAGAAATGTACTATAAAAAATTAGTTACTATTCTCCTCAAGCTGAATGTTTGTCTTGCAATCCTATTTCTTTGGCATGAGATGCTTCCATTGTGATATCTTCCTAGATAGATTTGCCACTTGTTTACAACTGTTATAGAAGGCTGCCTGTGGCACTGACAGGTCAAGTGAATTTTTCATGATAGTCAGAAATCAAACTAGCTAGCCAGAATCAAGAATCATCTTATGTCTCCTTCACTCCAAGGCCATCCTCACCATTGCACCATGCTGTTATCAACATGTTTTATTTCAAATAGTTGAAATAAATGTTCTAATTTAGCTGAGTAATCCTGTAGAAATAAGGCCACAGAAAAGAACTGGAAATTGAGGAGATGCCTATCAATTGGGGGAATGGCTGAATTAGTCGTGGCATATGACTGTGACAAAATATTCTTACATCATAAGAAATAATTTGATGAGCAGGTTGTTTTTTATAAAAACCTGGGAAGACTTACATGAACTGATGCAAAGCAAAATGAGCAGAATCAGGAGAAGATTGTACACAATAACAGTAATATTGTATAATGATGAACTGGGAATAACTTAGCTATTTTCAGAATGCAATGATCCAAAACAATTCTGAAGGACCTATGGTGAAAAATGCTACCCACCTCCAGAGAAAGAACTGGTGGAGTCTGAATGTTGATTGAAGCACACTTTTTAAAGTATTTCTATTCTTTTTTTTGGATCTGTGTTTTCTTTTGCAATATGGCTAATGTGTAAATGGTTTGTGTGACTGCACATGTATAATCTGTACAAATGGCTTGCCTTCTCAAAGAGGGGACAGTGAAGGGATGGAAAGAGATAATTTGGAACTCAAATTAAAAAAAAACATTAAAATTTTTGTTTACTTGTAATTGAGGAAAAAATAAAATAAAAAAGAAACAAGACCACAGGTCTTTTCTGTGGATTTTCTATTCTGTTTTCATGAACAAGAGTTAAAATAATCTCATTTGTATCGAGATTCTTTCCTCATGTCTTTTATTCCTATCCTCTTCTTTGGCATATTTATTCCATCAGTCTAACTAAATAAGAGACAGCAGCCCTTCTTACCACACTATGACACTTTATTACTGATTCCATATTCATTATTTCCTACATGCTGCAAAGGGGACTGTTGTTTGTGTATGGATCAGACTATATGGCCTCTTAGATGACTTCTATCTTTGAGTGCCTGATTCTGTAGTCGAATGTTTGAATGTACTTGTTTGCAAAAAGCTACAAAAGTCAAAAAGTTTGAATGGCTTAAGCTGGGACACAGTAAATTTGAATGTCTCTTCATCTCAGTAGAATCTAGCCTGGGTGCTAGAATGAAAAGTCATTAGTATTAGGATTGATTCATCTACTACTCCAAGACATGATGAGAGAACCTGGAGAATGTTTCTAACAAGGTCAGAGGCTATCATTTAGACTTGGATGGTTGAATTAGGGAGGGCCCTGGAGAAGTTCATTGGGTTGGATTAAGGAAGGTATACTAAGCCCTTACCTTCCACCTGGAACATGACTAGCTTATTTGTAGAATCGCTAGATGGAAGCCAGGGGGTACAGTGAATAGAGGACTGGGCTGGGAGTTGCAGGAAGCCCTGAGTTCAGATCTAGCCTTAGATACTAGCTATATGACTCTGGGCATAACTTAAACCCTCTCTACCTAAGTTTATTAAAATGGGGAAACTATGCACATCTACCTCCTAGGCTTGTGTGAGGATCAAGTGGTACAACATTTGTAGCATTTAGGACAGTGTCTGACACATAGTAGGCACTTAATAAATACTTTTTCTTCCCTTTCCTGTATTGAACTTATATATTCAGACATTTTCATGTTCTATTATTTTAAAATATATTTTGTATGATAGATTTAAGAAGCGATAATAACCATGAGCATTTCAATACACAAAGAGTAGATAAAATTGCACAGGATGGTGTTAATATTATGCAGAGCTTTTAAGTGTTTATTACTTTTAACCATTAATATGACAGTCCTTATGTGTCCCTTTCTAAAATTCTTTCCACTTTTTCTATGTATTTTTAATGATTCATTGGTTGCTTTTCATTTCTTTTCTTTTTGTATCACTAAGATTTCATCACCCTCTTTATCATCAGCTCCCATCCCTTGAAATCAAACATTACTTTTCAAAGTGGCAAATAATTTTGAGGTGTATTATGAGAAGCCGCTCTGCCTGTGGCCTAAGGGACTTATCCCCTGCCTGTTTTCCTGCTGTCCATCTGGTGTCTCCATCAGTTCTTTGCCTAATGATCTCATGGCCTTGATTTCTTGACTCTTTTGAGAGCAATCACATCTTCTGAGTACTTCGGAGAATCCTTGACAACAGCTGAGAATACCCTTGACTTGCCTTATCAATGTGGTATGAGTCCCTGTGGACCTGGTGCATTTTTACATGTTTTGCAGAGATGCAGAACGAGGAGCTCTGGGGATCCTCAGATGAGTCTTTGTCCCCTAAGAGCACTGATGCTCCCATGCTTATAAAACTCTACTCCCAGATCTTGGCCACAAGCCATAGAACACCTGTTCTCCACTATTGTACATGGGACAAGCTTGAAGTGAGGTAATCATCCATCATGCATTTATTAATTTATCCAGAAACAGTTCTTCTATGCTTTATTCATCTAATTACATTACTGACACCATGCAACAGCAGTGACCGAGGACAGCCATCGGTAACTTAGAGAGCTCTGTGTATTTGTCACCAGACACTGGGAAGGGCTTCTCCAATAAAACTTCTTCCTACTCTTCTCTGGCTTAGGCTTCTAATTGCAGACCTCTAAGTGAAGGTACCTGGTCAATCTTCCACCTTGGAGTCTTGTCATCAAACTAAAGAACTCAGTTAGGGCTCATATAGGGCAGCTAGGTGGCACTGGGCCTGGAGTTAGGAAGACACATCTTCCTGAGTTCAAATTTGCCCTCAGACACTTACTACTGTGTGACCCTTGTTTGCCTCAGTTCCTCATCCATAAAATGAGCTGAAAATAGCAAATCACTCCAGTACCTTTGTCAAGAAAACCTCAAATGGGGCCACGAAGAGTTGGACATGACTGAAACAACTGAACAACAAGGTTTCATATTTTAGAACGCTAGTGACAGGTCAAAATGAGATCTACAATATGAGTGTCATGTGGAAAAGCAGAAGAGCATCCCCATCTTCAGGAAAAGGGAGGTACAGGGTTCCAAATTACAGGTTTGGAAGCCTCATTTTTGTAATATTCCATGAGCTTATATTTAACAAGATGATAATAATGACTAACATTTATATGAGAATTTGAAGTTTACAAAGCACCTTAAATTATTATTTCATTCTCCCCTCACAACAGCTATGTGAGGCAGGTGACGTTATTGTCCGCATTTTACAGATAAGAAAATTGAGTATGAAAGAGGTTAAGTGACTTGGTCTGGGTCATATAGATGGTAATGCTTGGAGCAGGCTATGGATACAACTCCATATTCTTTGCTCTATCCATTTTGAGGCCAGGACTTCTTTTGCACTGAGTTGAAGAGAAATACCTTTGAAGAACTGGCAGTTTTACAGATAATGAAATGAAGGGTCTGAGAGATAAGTATTTTGTCATGCTGTTACACACATAACAAAATGGAAAACCATGATTGTAACCCAGCTCTTCTCACAATAATTTGAATAGTCTTACTACTCCAATACTCTTATTATTTCTTTCTCTATGTATTTATTTTCTTTCTTGACAATATTTTATTTATCCAATTACATGGAAAAATTTTACAATTTTTTTTTTAATTTTGAGTTCCAAATTCTCTCCCTTCTTACTGAGAAGACAAACAATTTGAAACATGAGCAGTCAGGCAAAACATATCTCCGTATTAATCACGGGTTTTTAGCTTGATATTTACTTGTTTTTCCACTTTTAATATTTTATTTTTTCTTCAATTTCATATAAAAACAATTTTTAACATTTTTTAAAGTTCCAAAATTCTATCACATTTAATACAATATAATATAGTAAATATATAATATAATTAATATAATATAATATAATATAATATAATATAATATAATATAATATAATATAATATAATATAATATAATATAATATAATGTAATGTAATGTAATGTAATGTAATACAAAATAATATAGTAAATATAATATAATACATTTGAGGAATTGCTTTTTTGTACCCCATGCAATTCCTATTAAATTTCATCTGATTAGATTTAGCCTAACGCCAACACCTTTTGAGAGCCTTCTAGGTTCTGACTCTGTCATCTTGTGTCTTAACTAGCCCTTCTACTTTGTGTCATTTGAAATATGGTGAACATATCATTTATGCTTTTATCAAACCCATTACTAAAAATGCTAAATAGCACCAATTTCAGTACAGATTCCTGAAGTCCTCCACTGGAAACTTCCTGTCACATTGATACTGACCAATGAGCAACTGCTCTTGAATCTGGCCATCTAAGCCTTTCACATTCCATCTTATTATATTATTGTCTCCTACATGTCTTTTCTTCTCCATAAGGAGAGCATGAGATACTTTCCCAAGAGA